CGTCCATGTGTAGCGTCTGCAAAGGAGCAGTCGTCGGGGGGAAGGAGGAGGAGTGGGGAGCGGCGCGCTGCCGCCCCTCAACACAGGGAATGCAGTCGGGAGCAGGTGAGGGGGGGAGGGGAGGGAGAACCCGAGGGAGACCAGAGACAAGCTGCCGCTTGTGCATGGCACGAAGGCGCTGCACAGACGGGTGGCCAAGTCGGTGGTGCCAGAGGACAGTGTCGTGCGCCAGAGAGCGACACGAGCAGGGGGCGGACAGCTCACCTGACGCCGACGCAGACGCGGACGCAGCTACCTGAGGGGACTCAGTGGTCAGTGTGTACAGGTCCGACCCCGGCTCCCGAGTAAAGGTAGCCAGGTGGCGACCCGTCCGGGCACACGTGCAGTGGGTCACTCGCTCGTAGGCAGGGGTGGTCTGGTGAACACCCCCATCCTGTAGCTCACATCCTGCCACCAAGTTCGTAGAGAACGAGGGGAGGTAGAGACCCGACAGCGTGCCGGACGGGACTGCAGGACAAGGGAGGACAGTGGAGTGAGTCGCAACGACTGGACCCCCAGTGGGGTCAGCTAGCGAGACTGCAACCGGCTGAGCAAGAGGCTCAAGGACAGTGCGGTCACGAAAGAAGGAGCGGGAAGCACCTGAGTCAAGAGTGAAGGTGTGGAGTGCGGCGGTCGGCTCAGTACCAGGGGTGACTGGGGCTATAGCACCTAGGGCAGCAGCCTCACCAGGACCTGGGGCAGCAGACACACTAGCACCTAGAGCAGCAGCCTCACCAGGACCTGGGGCAGCAGACACACTAGCACCTAGAGCAGCAGCCTCACCAGAACCTGGGACAGCAGTCTCACAAGTACTGAGAGCGGGAGCCTGACAAGTCACAATGCCCGGGTCGGGCGGAACACGCAGGTACTGAGCACTCTCTCCACTAATAGACATCGCATACATGGCAGTGAGAATAGCATCAAAGTCTAAAGCCCAAATATCAACACCCTTCTTTTCCAGCTCAGGCCAGTGGGGCAGCTCAGCACCCCCAGTAAACTGGGCGCGCCACGCGTCAGTAAGGCGCTGGTAGCAGCGCTGCGTGGGGTGCGGCCTCCCACACGGCAGGCCCTTGCGGTCACCAGTGCGGTGGACGTACGTGCAAGTGGAACCACGCTGTGCGTACCACTCACGGGCGGCCTGGAGGGTCGGGGCGTGCTGCTGACCCTGGCCACCACCAGCGTCTCCACGACCACCACCGCCACCGCCACCGCCTCGGCCACCTCCACCCCTGCCGCGACCACGACCACCACCGCCGCCGCTGCTACCGCCGCTGCCGCCACTACTCCCGCCGCCGCTGTCACCACCCCCACTGCCACCACCAGTGTCTCCAGACCCACCGCCACCCCCACTGCCGCCACCCCCACCGCCCCCGCCTCCACCCCCACCCTTGCCCCCCCTGCTCTTGCGACGCCCGCTCGAGGCAGACGCAGCCCCGACCTTCTCAGCACCAAGGAGGTCGACAGCAGCAGCAGTGGCGACAGAGGGGAGAAGGGGGGAAGGGGAACACCCCTCAAAGAAGGGGTGGCGGGGCTCGCCACGAGAGGCACCTACGGCGACGATGCTCGCCTCAGCTGCAAGTAGATCCTTCTCAAGGATGGCGATGGTGAGCTCAGTAGGGGAGCGAGCAAGAAGAGAGTCCCTGACTGCGCGCAGTGAGTCAGGGAGGCGGGTGACAATGTGGTAGAGCGTGAGCCAGAGCGGTGGGGGGTTGCTGGCGAGGAACTCGGCAGGCATAGCAGCGCGAAAGCGGGCCTCACTGGTCTTAAGGTGAGTAATGAGATCGGCAACGGTCTGAAAAGAGGCCAGGTCAGGGAAGAGGTAGGGTAGGGTGAGGCGGCCTAGGGTGGCAGACGCAGGCGAGGAGTAGCGGGCAACGACGGCTGTGTACAGGTCCTGAGCAGTCTTGCACTGGCCGAAGTGCTCGCGCTCATCTAGCGGTAGCGAGTTGCGGATAGCAAAGCGAGCATGCGCGTCGCGGGTCTGCCACTGGGAGCGTAGCGTGCTGGCAGCAGAGGAGTCAGGGGCAGTAGCATGGCCGAGGGCATGATCATACAGGGAGATGTCTTCCTTGGCAGTGAGCTGTAGGAAGAGGTGGAGATCCTCAAGCCAGGTGTCAAATTTCACTGGGCGACCCTCAGCATCGAAGGCTAGGACAGGAGCGCTAGCCATGATAGCAGGAGGAGGAACAGTCGAAAATGGAAGGATAACAGGAACAGCAGCAGTTGGGACAGCTGCGGCAGTTGCTGCAGTTGAGTCGGCGACGGCAGCTGCTGCAGGAGGTGCGGCTGTTGCCGCTGCTGGAGATGCGGAGGCGGTCGTTGCTGGGTCGGCGGCGGCCACTGCTGCAGAGGCAGCGGCGGCTGATGCTGATGTAGCTACGGCGGCCGCTGCAGGAGATAGCGGCGGCTGCTGCTGCAGAAGATGTGGCAGCTGCTGCTGCAGTAGATGCTGCGGCGGCTGCTGGTGAAGATGCGGCAGTTGCCGCTGTAGGATGTGGCGGCGGCTGCTGCTACAGTAGATGCGGCAGTTGTCGCTGCAGGAGGTGGCGGCGGCTGCTGCTGCAGAAGGTGCGGCAGCTGCTGCTGCAGGAGATGCTGCGGCGGCTGCTGCTGAAGATGCGGCAGCTGCTGCTGCAGTAGATGCTGCGGCGGCTGCTGCTGAAGATGCGGCAGCTGCTGCTGCAGTAGATGCTGCGGCGGCTGCTGATGAAGATGCGGCAGCTGCTGCTGCAGTAGATGCTGCGGCGGCTGCTGATGAAGATGCGGCAGCTGCTGCTGCAGGAGATGCTGCGGCGGCTGCTGCTGAAGATGCGGAAGGAGCCGCTGGAGAAGATGCAGCAGCTGCTGCTGTTGTAGATGCAGCGGCGGCTGCTGCTGAAGATGCGGCAGTTGCCGCTGAAGAGGGTGCAGTAGTTGCTGCTGCTGGAAATGCAGCGGCAGTTGCTGCAGAAGAAGCGGCAGTTGCTGCTGCTGAAAATGCAGCGGCGGCTGCTGCAGACAATGCGGCCGTTGATGCTGCAGGAAATGACGCGGCGGCCGCTGCAGAAGGTGTGGCTGCGGCTGCTGCTGGAGATGCAGCGGCGGCTGCTGCAGATGGCGCGGCGGCTGCTGCTGCTGCAGCTGCAGTGGCGACCAGGCCGCAAACCGGCGGCAACAAGGCCGCGAATCGGCGGCGACGAGGCCGCGGCCGGGCGGCAGCGACGCCGCAAAAGGCGCGACAGAGTCACGACACGGCCGTGGAAAAAAAAAGGGAGGGGGGGGGGAGGCCGTGAGAGAGTCGCGCGGGGCCAACAAAGGGGCCGGGAAAAACGAAGAAAGAAACGGCCGCAACTGGCCGTCGAGGAGAAAGCGCCCGTGGCGCGACTAGGGGAAACGCAAAGTGCGCTCCGGGCAGAAAAAAATTCTTAAACGTGGTGGGCCCTTCCTAGGAACCTTCCTGCTCTGATACCATGTCAAGGTGAGAGAGGAATGATGTGGACTAGTTTGGGGCATGGGGTACAAAAGTGACGAGAGAAAAGTTGTACCCCCTAAGAAACACCCCTACAAAACCTAAAACTAAATTATATAAATCATATAATTTGACAGCCCGTCGCGGCCGGGGCGAGCGTCGCCCCTTCTGCCGCCTACTTTGGCGCCCAGGGAGGTCACGCGTCGCCCCCCCCCCCCCGTAACCTCCCTACCCGCCCTCCCGCCCTGCCCTGTGTTCAGGTTTAGGGGTGGCGAGTGGAGGGTTGGCGGGTGTGTGGTCTCCCCTGCTCCTCCTCCTCCTCTGTCTCCCACTGCTGCAGCTGCCGCTGAGGGGGGTGGGTGTGTGGGAGTCGACGGAGTCTTGCTAGGGGGTGGGGTGTGAGTGACCCAAGGGGTGCAGTAGGGGGTGTGTGTCAGGGGGGGTGAGACTGTTTGGGAAGCTGAACGGAGGTTGCCGTCGTGTCGCCAGCAGCACCAGTAGTTCGGGGAGTTGCTCCGGTAGCCCAGTCGTAGCCACCTGTGCCAGTCGCCCGTGGGTCCGTTGCTCGTCTGCCGCTACTTTAGCCGCGGGGCCAGTTACTCCAGTAGTCCGGAGAGTTGCTCCGGTAGCCACTGTGCCAGTGTGCCTCCTATTGCCCGCGTGTCTGCAGCTTCAGCTGTCGCCTCCTATCTCCTCTCCTCTCACCCTCGCCTCCTCCTCCTCACTTGCCTCCTGCGATAGCCTCTAGCTTTGCTCATAATTGTTAACTTTAAATTATTGCTTCTTGAACTTGTGCTCAGAATGTGTGGTGACATTGTGATCCACCCTGAGCTTGTACTGCTTTGCTTGCTCTGCTGATTACACCCCACTTTGGCTATGGGGGTGTGTCAGAATATTATGCTCTAGCCTGTAGTGGGGTGCTCCATAGCGAGTACAACCCTTCTAGGGTTTGCTATTTGTATCCACATTCTTGCTAGTTCAACCCTCTTCATTCTCTCGTTTCTTCACAAATCACATTCGAGGGTGTACTACCAATTCCATTATCAGCTCTCCCGCTTTCAAAAATATTTTCTGATAATATTGCCGGAAGATTTGTGCCTTCTGCGGCATGAAATTCTCTGCAGTTTTTCTGCAAAATAACTGAAAATATTTTTTTTGTTAAATATTCATCAGAATGATTTTTCGGTAGCCATGCCTGGTAAGAAGGTGAGAGATCATGGTTTATTTTGTCCTTGTCAACATTGTACTTCTGAATTGTGTTTGTTTATGGTTTGAAGTACACTATAGCAAGTATACACTACTGAAAGGTGTTTTGAATGAACTTGTTTTGAGGTTGTGGGGAGTTCACGCGTGGTCGTTGTTTTGAGGTTGTGGCGAAGTTTTTCGCCAGCCGCCGAACTGTGTCGGTCGCGAAAAGACGAAGTCGCTCGCGACGAAGCCGGGTCACCGCCTCAGTCTGTTTCCCCCTCAACAGCGACCGCAGAGTAGCTCTGCGAGAAGAACTTGCGAAATAATGCGAGGCTTTTCAGTAGCACAACTGCACTCCAACACCTCAGTCCCTCAACAAGAATCACCCCCCGAGTCCTCTGCAACTGTCTGGTCTGGAAAAATGGCAAATTTCAGTGCGGTGTAGTGCGGCTTAGCCTCGACTCCGTGAGACAACTCTGCTTTTGATTCACCACCACTGCTGCATTGTTGAAACCTGCGGTGAGGTCTCTTGGTAGTTTGTGGGCAAGGCATTTGTCTGGTTTGTCAGTGGCTTCTACCACCTGTGAGAGCCAGCATTTTGGAAACCGAGGCTCCTCAAGACGCGCCTGTCATGGATCGTGCGCGCATGGCCCCGCTCCTCCTCCTGCTGCTGCTTCCCTTCGCAGCAGCCGCCCCTACCGCTGCCCCCACGGGGAAGTCCCCCCCCGCAGCCGCAAAAGCACCCGCGCCCGCTCCGCCAGTAACTCCGCCGAAGACCCTCCCCGCGTGCCCGCTCACGGGGAAGCCCGCGACTAAGCCGACGATTCCGCACTCGCGCTGCGTGGAGGCGCAGCAGCTGTCGTGCTGCGCGGACTGCGCGGATCTTACGTTTCCGATACAAGTGCTCGCGATAGATGTTGCTGCTGCCTTGGAGCCGGTGACGCAGGGTCTGGCGACTGCCCCGGCAGATGTAGGTGGTACTCGTTTGGGTGCTAAGGGTGCTTGGATGGGTGCCAATGGTACTTGCATGGTTGCCAATGGTGTTTGAATGGGTGCGAATGGGGCTGTCATGGGTGCTAATGGTGGTCGTGTGGGTGATAATGGTGCTCGCGCGGGTGATAATTCTGCTCGCAATGCTAATGCTGCTCAGATGGGTGCTAATACAGCTCGGGGTACTGTAGGCGGCCTGCGCATAATGTGTGTGATAATCGCAGCGCGACTCCTCTTCGCGATACTTTTCAGCGATAGCCACACATTGCGACCATTTTTTCTGGGGAGTTCTCGAAGACCGCTCCGAGTCTCTTGGAGCCTGTAGAGTCATTTGCTTTTCAATCTCTTCCCACATTGCTGGTATATCGCCTCTCCCACCTCTACCCTCCCCGCTCCCCCTTACTGTTCCCCGCTCCCCGCGACCGTTCCATTGCTCGGTGGTTACAAGCCAACTCTTGCTTGTCTATCGCGTATTTCTTTCCCCTCGGCGCGCAGGTGTGCCAACTGTTTAAGGGCCACGAGAAGTGCGAGCAGCTGATCGAGCAGCTCGTGTGCGCCGTCACGTGTAATCCAGGTGGGTTTTTTTTTTTTTGTTCGCGAATGACTCGCAAATGTTGCGTACTTGTCGCAAAAGGTTTGAGCCTCGTCCGAATATAGTACCCCTTTCACTACACCGCATCGTGCCTGGTTATGCGAGTCATTTTCATACCGACACAACTTGTACATTGTAATGCTCATTTACATAATGGTACACTTTCTAGTACACAGTACACTTTTTTTAGTAATGGTATGCTCTCTTATTTGGCATTTCCTCACTGCAGATTCGGGATATTATTTCATTGACACGCCTACGGGTCCCTACATGCAAGTGTGCAAGGCATTCGCACAGCAGGTCTACGACAAGTGCTCTACACTTAAAGGTGAGTATTTTTTTGCCTTGCAATTATACCTTTTGTTGTCCAGAAATGAGTACTTTTGGTTCGTATGCTTTCTGGTACCCTTGATAACGAGTCTGTCCGTTATTCATTACTCTAATTCTCCACCCTGCTCCTGCTCTCACTCTTTCAGCAACAAATTGATTTCCGCTTTTTGTTCCCCTTGGTCTTTTCACCTTCTGCTTTTGTATGCTCTTCATCCCCTCTCGTTTCTGCTGCAGTTGGTGACATATCAGTGGACATGGTAATCTACAACCCCGAGCAGCTTATAAAGCAAGCCATCGTCCCCCTTGTTGCAGAGGCTGTTCCAGGCTTCACTGCTGGAGTCAGTGTGAGTTCCATGCGCCCGGTAGTACAATGCACTATCCTACGCAGTTCCACGAGTAAAAGAGAAATATCTAGATCTACCAGTAACCAGGCACCCATCCGATTGATTTTCATGTTATTCAAAAGCCTATGAGTATCCCTATCCCAGCTCCTCACCTTATTTTCTGGAGACGTAGATTTCTTTATACCCAGAAGCAAATCTTCAGCCTTGGAACTGCTTATCAATACCTCCTGTTCAACCCCTCCCCACTCTCCCTCTCCCCCTTTCCCTCCCGTTTCCCTGTTCCCTGCTTCTTCCCACATTCCCTCGTCACAGAACGTGGGTTGTTATGGTGGCCCCCAGGTCCTCCCCGCCACCCCCCTCTGCTGCGACCCTCTCGCCATCCCCAAAACCTGCTCTGCTGGTTCGGTAAACACCACCGGAGCTGAGAAGATCCCGGGCCGGAAGCCCGACGCGAAGATCTGCGCCAAGTACCCCTACAAGACCGGAACCATCCCTTACAAGCGCCCCGCGCTGCCCCCAACCGCCTTCGACAAGCCTACCCTCCCGAAGCCTCCGTTGGCTCCGTCCTCCGCACCTGCACCAGCGCCAGGCTCTGACTCTTCTCCAGGCTCGGCAATGGCGCCATCGTCCGGAAGTACTGTTGATGGGGGGTCTTCCCCCCCTACTGCGCCCCCACCAGCCCCCTCCACCCCATCCTCCCCTTCTACCCCGTCCTCCCCATCTACCCCGTCTTCCTCTACCCCGTCCTCCCCATCTACCCCGTCTTCCTCTACCCCGTCCTCCCCATCTACCCCGTCTTCCTCTACCCCGTCCTCCCCCTCTTCCCCGTCTTCCTCCACCCCGTCCTCCTCTATCCCGTCCCCTCCACCTCCACCCCCTAAGGGCACTGGAAACGTAGCTGCATCTGTATTTGTGACTCTGACTGCTGCTGTGCTCGCTGCTCTGCTGTGATGGAGCGGAAATAAGTGGAATTTCAAGTACCGTTGTCTCTTGGATTGATGTCAGAGGAAGGGTTCAATATGTAGGCATATGTTATATGGAATTATTGACTGACAATGACTGGTTTGGCCGGTACTTCAGGAGCTTCGGGAAAGGTATTCGGATAGAAGCAGTTAAATTAGTGGACAGAGACAAGAACTGACAGCTACCAATGCTTGTGATATTGTCATGAGGGTTCCTAGTAACTGAAAAGGAATCTGAGATCCAGATATTTCACTTACGGTGCAGGTACCACATATCTTGCACCACAACACCGCAGCCGGCCGAGTGAGTGTGTGTGACACTAGTACCACCAGTTAGTTGAATGAGTGTGAAGGTACCAGACCAGATAGGGGACAGATTTGTACAAACAACACCTGTGAAACACATACATGCACTGTAACATACATCGGTATATGTAGGTGTTGATGAGATGTCACACCTCACCATTCCTTCAGGTCTGCAAACAACCGAGTTTTTTCTTTAGTACTCAAAAAATTCTTTAAGTATCACACTAACATGTTCGCAACATAGTACGGTTTCCAAAAAAAAAAAACTCACTCATTTGCACTCAGGCTTGGCACTGTGACATTTCTTTACTCACATGATCAGGAAGGCAAACAAGCGTACACCCATGTTAGGCAACAGAATTCTTCTCCTGCCAGGCAGACGCGTTTTGTGTGAGCCCCAGCCAAACCAGTCAGCCTTCTTGGTCCCTCCCTCCATCATTATCACCGTGCTGACAACTCTGGGTTGAACTTTGACGGCCCTGTTCGATAGGCAGCCACATCATTGCAGCGCTAGTGTTAGGCTAGCGTTTGGAGGAGGCTTCCGATAAAATTTTCAAGGGCTAACCCCCTCCCCCCGAGATCGGAAGCTGCCCATCCCGAGATCGGAAGGAGGGGGTCGTCTCGGCGATGTTGCAACCCCTCCTTCCACCAGCGTCAAGTTGGGCAGGCTCCAAACTTTTACACCGCTCCCTACGGGAACCTGGGTAAATCAGGGGAGAAAAAAAAACCTACACGACTCTCACGCGTCAAGAGTTGCTATGGCAAGTGAGTTCCAGGGCAGAGATGGGTGAGGTTGGTTGGAGCATGGGCCCTGCTAGGAAAACTTTCGTGGGGTATGGGGTGGGTATCCCCGCTCGTATGGAACCCTAGTCATCCCTTTGGCAAACCTCCATTTTGGGGGTGCGAGGGCTGGGCTGGAGCTAGGCTAACTTCTGTGCGTGTGAGAAGGGTCTTGGTGCTTTCGGGGGGATGATCTTGAAGGGCTAAAGCAGCGTTCGAAAGGCTAACACTAACACCCCCAGAGTCCAGAGAGTTAAAGCCCCTTGACACTAAATTACGGGCTGACCGCAGAAAAAAACCCTACGTCGAAACAGCCGCGATGATTCCCCGAGCGTTAGCGTTAGCCTATCGAACAGGGCCGACATGTTGCATTCTGCTCCGAAGGATAACGTTGAATCATGAAATTGGTGATCCAGCTTGGCGCCGCGCTATCATGAAATGCCTGCGGCCTTGGAGCAGTAGAGAGAGTCACATCACGTGAAGTCAAGTGGGTCCGCTCAGAGAAGGAATTGCTTCTCTTTTGTCCCAAACGGGTTACGCAAGAAACCGCTGCTACGGTACTTATACAGTAACCCCTGACTTTACACCGCCTCCAGCTTCTCAGGGTTTTTGAGACCGTAGGTTGGGTTTCCAGCCACGAAGACCTAAAACCGGATCGTGAGTCTCGTGTTTCTTGAAATGCCCGTACAAACTACGCAGGGCAAGCCAAATGGAACAAATCAGACGGGGCTATCGATGAATCCCCGAACCGATCAGGGCGGACAACAAATATGGCGGTTTGCCCAATTTTCACGCCGCCCTCGTGCGTGGGGAATGAATGCAATTTTATTTCTGCAAAGCCAGCGTAGATTCTCATGATAGATCTCGTAACCTGTCACTGCGCGTCCGCCCAGCTGTCCGCCTCTGTTTACATTTTTCATCACACCGAGTCTGAAATTTGCACACTGAACTGCTCGCTTTCAGATAGATTGCATTGAATGAAAGCGAGCATGTCAGGTGTGCAAATGTGAAGTAGCAGGTGTGCTATTAGCCCCAGTGAAACATTTGTGAACACATTGCACATAGACCGAATCCTCACCATACACGCACTACGTCTCACAAACCGGTTAGGGTTTCCCGTTCCTGGTCTGTGGTCAGGTGTAACTGGATTCTACTTTTCGTTGAATGGTTTCTCTCCCCACAACCACGCTCCCCGCGCTCCACTCCACACAGCTTGGCTGCCAGTGCCCTCGCCCTGCACTGCAGCCAGTTAACACAAGCTCAACGCAGGCTTTCTCGTCTGCTGCGGAGCGGGATGCATCACAAGTTCAATAAATCAACAATTGAGTAGGATGTGTTGTCTGGGTCTGTTGAATCACCGTTTGGAACAACCACTCACCTCTCAACATTGATACTTCAACTGAAACGCCCTCAAATGACTCACAGCACGCACGCCTTCCTTCCCGTCTAACTGGATCTTGAGAATGCAACATATTGGTTTACTGGCAGCTCAACATATACTTATCCTTTTCCTTATCCTCAACCGACCCATCTTCGCCGCAATGTCGCCTGTGTGTTGCGTTTAATTCGTAGACATCTCAGCTTCTACAAACGCCAGCCTTCTTACACTCAAATCTCTCAGCAGTTTGGTCGGACTTCAAATAAGAATCGTCAATAGCAGCTTTCGTTTTGTTCGTCTCCAATATATTTAACGAAATTGATCAAGACAATGCGGCCAAGATCCGTTTCTCCGTCACCTCGCAATGCCTCTACCGGCGAGGCCATTCATAACGGGGACGGGAGAACTGATAGCCCGTTAAAACCGGCAATCAGCGGCTCGACACTGCTCGAGCGCCGGCAGTATCGACCCCTCGCTGTAGTCACGCACGCATGGCCGGCGTCCGCTCGTTCTTCTCACCATCATGACAACGACCATCGTGACCCTTCGCAATCAGGAGAGAGAGGCAGTCCATCCTACTCTTCTACCACCCAGAACAGTTTAGAATCTCACGGCCATCAGAATTATCATCACCATGATTATTCCAGCAAACCCCCTCGCTCGCCGCTGCACTCTCCATATCAATCCCCCCCCGGCGGGGTTACCCGCAACCATTTCCCCATGACTCCCCCCGCGAGCTGGTCCATGCCCAGCGGGGGGGGAGAGTTGGGGGGGATTGGCGGAGGCGGAATCGGCGGAGACGTCCCTGGCGGAGATAAAATGGGTGGCATTGGCGGAGATAGAAAGAGGCTTGGCGGAGACTACAGCAGCAGCGGTAATGGAAACAGCGGCCGCCGCAATGGACTGGAGCCGTCATCCCGCCATTCTAGGTCAGCTGCGTCTAGCCCCCGGGTAACGGATTCCGTTTTCGGGCTTGGAAAGGAGGAGGGCAGCCAGAGTGGACGGAGCGCGTCTTTCGAGGAAGGCGCGGCGGAGTCTTACGTGGCAAAGTCTCGCCGAGAGTTTTTGAAAGGTTCGGTCAGCCCACCTCGTCGCGCATCTGTCGACGCGTCGGATGTCGTCAATTTCGCCAGCGAATCAGGAAGGCGAGCGCGGGCCAATCGTGGCTCGCCTCGCGTGTCTGATGACCTCGATACAAGCCAATCCGATACTCGCTCGGCTGAACTACTACCGCATCCGCCGTCGTTTGAAAATCTAGTTGAAAAGGGCACGCAGTTCGGCGACTCGAGCAAAGCGCCCATCACTTTCCGCGAAATTTCCGCCGCCGGCGGTGACGCCAGCACTTCCGTTACCTTTCACAGCCCTGCGGAATCTTCGGCGGTATCTCCGGCGCTATCCCCGGCGCGATCTCCGGCGTTATCCCCGGCGGGATCGGGCACAGCATCCCCAATAACCGGTTCTCCGGGTCGGAAAAAGGTATCCAATCATTCAGTCGTTCATTTTTCTTCAGACGGCGCGACGAGGGAGGCTGTAACCGCTTCCGAGCACAGGGTTACCAGACGCAGCCAACACCTAGCGGGCGATCGTGCGGAGCAATACAATACGGACAGAAAGCCAATAGGTGGAGAAATTCCCGCTTGGCTTCCCAGCGGGGGGGTGAAGCAAGCGGAAAGGGATCTCTGGGGCCCGCCCCGCGGGGGAAGCGGAAGCAGGGGCGGAGGGGGAAGCGCGGGGGTTCCTCTTGCGTTCTCCGTCTCCCCGCGAGGCTCCCCGCGCGGCTCGCCGCTGCGCCCCGAGAAGCGGCTTGTGTCTTACGCGTCGCTAGACCCGCCTGGCGCTTTTAGGAGCCGAGGAGGTAAGGGCGGTCTAGACTGGCTTGAGGAGATTAAGAAGGGAGAGGGAGGAGGGGGCGGTGATGGCGGATTTGGCGGAAGTGGCGGAGGTGGTGGGGGGAGCAGTAGGGGCAGTGGGGGCGGCAGGGGAGGGGAATTGCGGGCGAACGCCGGAGAGGCTGGGGGGGAGAGCAGGCGGGGAGCGCTTGCTTCCGCAAGTGGCGGCGCTGGCGGTGCTGGTAGCTTTGGAAGAAGCGGGGGAGGCGGAGGAGGAGGGGGCGGAGGCGGAGGGGGAGGGGGAGGGGGAGGGGGAGGCGGAGGCGGAGGGTTCGGGGGAGCAAGCGCACATGGCATGGGCGGCGGCGCAGGCTTCCCTTTCCCCTCGCGCCCCCGCAGCTCCCCCTTAGGAAACAAGCTCATGTCGTATTCGTCCCTGGACCGCCCCTATAGGCCTGAGGGGGGGGCAGGCGGGGAGGGGGACGCGGGGAACTTGAGCTGGCGCCAGCTGGTGGCGCAACTGAAAGAGGGGGAGGAGCTGAAGGAGGGGAACGAGGGGGAGGAGGGGAGTGACTGGGAGGAGCGAGAGCGCAGGGGCACGAGGGCCAGTAGTAGCAGCCGTGGTGGTGCTGCTAGGGATAGAAAAAGCGCCGCCGGCGCTGCTGCTGCTGCTGGTGGTGGTCACGGCAGCAGCAGCGCTGGCGGCGGCGGTGGCGGTGGTAGTGGTGGCGGCGGTGGTGGCGGTGGCGGTGGTGGCGGTGGCGGTGGTAGTGGTGGCGGCGGTGGTGGCGGTGGCGGTGCTGCTGCCGGTGGTGCTGCTGGCGGCACGGCGATAACAGCGGTGAGTGCTCGCCCAAAGTCCAGGCACAGGCGAGGGGCGTCGTTCCATTCCCTCTCTCCCCTCGACTCCGCTAGCAGTGACACAACCTTCAGCTCGCTGTCGCAGCAGCCTGCTATCGGGACAGCTCGTAACGCGGATCGTTTTGGCAGTGCTGCTGGTGCTAGCGGCAACAGTAGGCTATCTGGTGGTGGTGGTGGTGCTTCTGCTGCTGCTGCTGCTGCTGCTGCTGCTGCTGCTGCTGCCGGTGCCGCTGGTGCTGGTTCTGCTTGTCCCAAGCCAAGGCACCGGCGAGGCTCCTCTCTCCACTCCTTTCCCCCTATTGACACCACAAGCAGTGAAGCTATTTTCGACTCGATCCAACGGGCAGCCGAAAAAGAAGCAAGTCATTCCGGCGACCTTTACTCCCCAGTCAGCACCAGGCCAGCCACTGCCGCAAATACTTCCGGGCAGTTTGACGGGTATTGGGGCAGCGAAGACACGGATTCCGGGTCGTTCAATGCGAGAGAGGAAGTACCCAAAGGAAGGCTGCACAGGCCGTATCAGGGGTCTGCCAATATAAGCGAGCTATTGGGGTCGAGGATTAGCAGAGCACGGGAGCGGTCTCAGCCTAGGTCGAAAGATAGAACGGGGGAGAGAGATGTTGGGAGGAGGGAGATGACGGGGGAGAGGCGAGGTGAGGGGAAGGGGGTAGTGGGTGAGGTGGTAAAGGGGGAGCAGGAGCATGAGGGGCAGCAACAGCAGCAGCAGCAGCAGCAGCAGCAGCAGCAGCAGCAGCAGCAGCAGCAGCAGCAGCAGCAGCAGCAGGGGAAGGAGAAGGTGAAAAGTCCGAGGGGCAGTTTGGGAATCAAGGGAATATTGCACGCCGCATCCTCCCGCCTCCGCTCCCTCCTCCCAGACTCCACCTCTCCCACTGGCACCACCACCACCACCACAAGCAGCACCACAGCCGCTACAGCTGCCACTGCTGCCCCTCCCAGCAGCGCTCCCAGCATCAGCAGCGGTATTGCCATGGGGGGCAGTAGTGGCAGCTATAGGCCGACCTCCCAGGAGGCTCCTGCTGCTCTCGCGTCCTTCTCCCTCAAGTCTTCAGACGCTGCAGGTGGGGAGAGTGACAGGGGGAGGAGGCCGGCGAGTGAGGTAGCAGGCCGCGTGGGGGGGATTCGGGGTAGGTTTGGAAGGCGGAAGCAGAGGCATGGGGGGGAGGAGGAGGAGGGGGAGGAGGGGGAGGAGGGAGGGGTGGATAGCCGAGGGGAGAGTCCATTGGGGAGTGGAGAAAGGGAAGGTGGTGCTGGGGGAGGTGGTATTGGTGGCGGTGTGGGCGGCAAGTCTCGGCATCAAGCGCGCCGCCGCCAGCACAGCGCTGACGAGCTTCCGAGAGTGCCTGCGTCACTGCTGGTTACCCCCCCTGTGTCGCCCCCAAATCAGTCGGAGTATGCAGCAGGATCGGTGGCAGAAGGAGGAGGAGAAGCAGCAGCAGCAGAAGCAACAGCAACAGCAGCTGCAGCTGCTGCAGTGTCAGCAAAAGCACTTCACGAGCGTCTGGCTCACAGGGATAGGGCGCGCAGGGAGGCTGCTGCAGGGGGTGGAGCACGGCGCGCATTGGGAATTTCGGGGGTAATTGCCCCGAGAGGAGATACCGTGGGTTCTGGGGCGGGAGCGTCCACAGGACAGGGCAAGGGCGGGGCTTCCTCTGGGCGGGTGATATTGTCTGATTATGACGTGGAATCGATTCCTCATGGGAAGTTAGCTGAGTTGCTGGGCCAGAGGCAGGATGTGGGAGGGAGGGCATCAGGAGGGGTCGGTGTGGTGGGAGCGAGTAAGGGACGGCGAGGGGAGGAAGAGGCCGGGGAGTATGATGGGAAAGGGAAAGGGAAAGGGCAGGTCAGGGAACGGGGCAAGGTCATGGACGGAGAGATAGGGAGCAGCAGCAGCGGCGGCGGCGGCGGCGGCGGCAGCGGCAGAGGTGATAGTGGTCACAGTGAAGGCAGGAGAGTTGTTCCCGGCTGCACCAGCGTTGACAGCAGCAGTTACAACATTAGCAGCGGCGGCAGCGGCGCCGGTAGCAGCAGCGGCAAACCAACCCAGCGGCAGCTGCAGCAGCAGCTGCTGCACTCCTCCCTGGCTCTCCAAACCCAGCTGATGACGCAGCATGAGAAGAAGAAGGGGCCTCTAGGGTCGGTTCTCATGCTGGAAAAGGTCTCCACGCACTCGGAATTGGACAATAAGAAAAAAACGGCGGGGGCAGGGAAGAAGCAGCAGGCTGATAGCATTCTGGCGCAGCTGGCAAGTCAGGGCAGCGGAGGAGGGGTGGGAGTGGGGTCTGGGCGACGAGAAAGAGGCGGAGGAGGAGCAGGGGAAGCAGGGAGGCTCAGTGCTGCGATTGCCACTGGCGCTGGCGCTGGTGCTTCTGCTGCTGGTGCTGGTGCTGCTGCCAGTGCTGCTGCAGCTGGTGCTGGCGGTGCTACCAAGGGTGCGATTGGTGTTGCTACGAGCAGCAGCAGCGGGTTACCAGTGATGAGGCAGTACGGCAGCATCCGCCCGTCGGACTACATCCTAAAGAAGCCGTACAAGGACCTGGCGGTGCGGTATGTGCTGCACAAGGAGGAGCTGGGCAGCGGCGAGTATGGGGTCATTCGCAAGTGCCTGGAAATTTCTTCTGGGCAAGTGCTCGCATGCAAGACTATAAAAAAGGCGCGCATCAAGGTATGTGATCTGATGGACGGTTGAGATGAAGGTTGGGTACAAGGGCAGTGCATGCATGGTGTGTCCGTTCATGGGGCCCTGGCGGCGCGGTATGTGCTGGCGGCGCCGTGCATGGTGTGTCCGTTCATGGGGCAGGGCAAAGTGAGTTCTGAAGAAGCCATACAAGGACCTGGCGGCGCGGTATGTGCTGCACAAGGAGGGGCTGGGCAGCGGCGAGTATGAGGTCATTCGCAAGTGCCTGGAGATCTCCTCGGGGCATGTGCTCGCCTGACCATCAAGAAGGCCCGCATCATGGTGGTTGGCTGAACAGACGGTTGGGATGAAAGCTTGGTAGAATGAATGGCCAGGATGAAGGTATTGAAGTGCAGTGCCTGGAGATCTCCTCGGGGCATGTGCTGCTCGCCTGCAAGACCATCACGAAGGCCCGCATCAAGGTGAGTGGTTGTACGGACGGTCCAGATTGAGCAACGAACGATAAGAAGAAAGAGGAAAGAAACATAGAAAGAAAGAGAGAAAGAATGACATAAAATGAGAAGACTGTTTGGGTAGAACATAAGGCTTTCTCAACAAACAGCTGTATGCTAATTGGTTCCACTATCTACATTTACTTTTACGTTTTGAGTCGTCTCAAAAGGCGTCTAAAAAATCGTTTGTTAACTGGTCCCACGTTCTACATTTACTTTTAAGGGTTTTTTTTTTTCTCTCTCAGAATGCTTGCTTGTCTCCCTCCCAGGCACACCTCTTTCCAATGCTGGCAGCTGAACCACCAATTTGGCTCCTCACTGATTTTCCGTCCCACACCTCTTTCCAATGCTGGCTCCCCCTTGCTGTCTACACCCATTTCTCAACACCATCACTCTCTGGTTTGTGCACCCCCAAACCCCATTCTAGATCACACGCCTTGCTTCCCGCCCCCTCCTCCCACCACTCCGCCCCCACCCCCCCCAACATCCTGCGTCACATCGCATACCCTCCTCTCCCCTTTCCTCCTAGCTCTATGCTCAACCTCCTATCCTGCATCGCACTCCATCCCTCCCCTATCCCTCACTCCTCAACTTCCCTCTCCTCCACACCCAAGAGGCAAGTTCAAAGTAGAGGACACCAGCAGGCAAAACCCTCTTCCCCCGCTCCCCTCCCACCTTAATGCACCGTCCTGCACCGCACTCCATCCATCCCCACTCCCCCGCACACCCCACTGCTCAACCCCCCGCATCAGCCCCAAGAGGCAGCAGATGGCATCAGAATGGAGGTCGCCATCATGCACAACCCAACTTTCCCCTTCCCTCCCCCCCCACCACAATGCACCACACTGTACCACACTGCACCGCACTCCATCCGTCCCCACTCACCCCCCTGTTGCTCACCCCCCACATCAGAGTCAAGAAGCAGCTGATGACATCAGAATGGAGGTTGCCAGGAGGCACAACTCACCCTACCCTCCCGTCATACCTCAATGCACCATCTTGCACCACACCCCATCCCACCCCACCACCCCCCCCGTCCCCCCCAACCTCAGTCCCAAGAAGCAGCAGACGACATCAGAATGGAGGTTGCGAGCATGCACACCCACCCCCCCCCCATCCTCCCCTGCCACCTCAACTCACCGTCCTGCACCGCACTCCATCCATCCCCACTCCTCCCTACCACCCCCCACACCAGAGCCAAGAGGCAGCGGATGACATCAGAATGGAGGTCGCGAGCATGCTTGTACTGAAGGGGCATCCGTATATTGTCACACTGCACGATGCAATCGAAGACGCAAAGGTACGGCGCTGTGCTGTGAGACGACTTAAGGCGCATCAGATATAAGTCCAGCATGCTTCTCTTGTACGTACTCAAGGGCATCCTCCCTATAAAGTCACTCGCACGATGCAGTCGAAGATTGAAAGGTACAGCCTGTATGCTCAGATTCTACATTCCATGCTTCGCCTCTGCGTGTGTCACTACTGCATGTGTCATTCCTTCACTGTCATATTCCGCTGTTCCGCATCTTGAACAGTGTGACCTCTTGCACTGTAGGCCTTTTTTAAGGCTCTAAGAAGGACCCCCTCCCTCTTCTAGCAGATGTCACTGTTCCCAGTGCTCAATTTGCTTTCATCCGCTAGTCTGGGTCTAGACCCCCCGCACGTCCCAGCCCACTCACGCACACTCTCCTCTCAATCTCCCGTCTCCTTCTCAGCGTTCCTCCTTTCAGTATGTCCTGGTGTTGGGTGTTTCGTTGGAGCAGCAATCTTCTTGGGTTTTAAAACGTTTTTTAAGTGCGTTGCCAAAGCCCATCCATCCCCTTACTCCCTTTCTCCCCTTCCCCCCCCTTTGCACGTCCACCTGGTGATGGAATTCTGCCAGGGCAGAAATCTATTCAATCTCATCACCAAGGGCGGCGCATACTCGGAGCCTCAAAACCCACCTCGCGCCCCTTCCCTCCCTCTCCACCCCCCCCCCCCCCCCTCCTCTCCAACCCCCCCCCCCTCCCTTCCCCTCAGTACGCTCATTGAGTGATGGAGTTCTGTCACGGGGGCGATCTGTTCGATCGCATCACAAATCGCGGAGTGTACTCAGACAGAGCCTCTGGCGCCACCTGTGCCGCGATGTTTTGAGACGTCTCAAAACAACACTTTTATCACATGGCTAATCGATCGCATCACCAAGCGCGGAGTGTACACAGACAGAGCCTCTGAAAACAAATGTGCCGCGATCACAGAGTCGCTGCTGAGCTGCCACCGCTGCCACACACACTAATACACCGAGTTCAATCTCCATAGTCCTCCTCAAATCCTTTCCCAAATCCCTTCTCTCGTCCCTCCCCGCCCCCCTTCTCCCCATCCTCTCCCCCTCCAGTACGTGCATTTAGTGATGGGGTTCTGTCACGGCGGCGACCTCTTTGATCGAATCACCAAGGGCGGAGTGTACTCAGAGCTTCTCGGCGCCCACCTGTGCCGCGCCATCACAGAGGCGCTGCTGCACTGCCACCGCCACCACACAGTCACAGTCATGCACCAAGACATCAAACCCCAAAACACCACCACCCGCTCTTCTCCCCACTCTTGAATCCCTGCTCTTTCCCACCACCACCTCCCCTCTCACCATCTCCCCTTTCCCCCCCTCAGTACGTGCATTTAGTGATGGAGTTCTGTCGCGGCGGCGATCTATTCGATCGAATCACCAAGGGCGGAGTATACTCAGAGCCTCTCGGCGCCCACCTGTGCCGCGCAATCATAGAGGCGCTGCTGCACTGCCATCGCCACGGGGTGATTCACCGGGACATCAAGCCGGAAAACATTTTACTGCTGGAGCCTGGGAGTGACACACGCATCAAGCTTGTCGATTTCGGCGTTGCGACCTTCTTCCAGGAAGGTACGTATGGGCATGGTACTTGTCAATGCACTGCACCACACTGCACTGCATGGCACCGCTCTGAACCGCATGGCACCGAGTTGCAGTGCTCTGCTACTCTGCCACCGCCACGGGGTGATTCACCGGGACATCGAGCCGGAAAACATTTTACTGCTGGAACCTGGGAGTGACACACGCATCAAGCTTGTCGACTTTGGCGTCGCCACGTTCTTCCAGGAGGGTATGCCTTTATTGTTCCTTATGATGCACCGCTGCACACTGCACCTCACTGCACTGCACTGCACTGCACTGCACTGCACTGCGATCTTGAGACCGCACTGCGCCGCACGTCACCGAATCTTACCGTGCTGTGCTTCATTGGAGTCCCTTAACTGATTCTGCCTGCACCCTTGCCGGTCTTCTCTCCCACTTCTCTAAGTCCGCATGAAGGTATGCACTTGTCTCTTCACTCGTGCTCACTCATCAAGTCGTGCCCAACACTTGCACAACAAGGCGTTCTGCTCCACGACACCATCGGCATAGCTTATGGCGCCGGAGGTGTGAGACGGGTGCAGTTCCTCCCCCCTGCTCGCATGCAACCATCTCCCCTGCTTCCCCACGCCACCCACCAGGCGTTCTGCTCCACAACACCATCGGCATGCCCGAGTACATGGCGCCGGAGGTATGGGGTGGGTGACTTTCTCCCCCTGCTCAACACACTCACCCATGTTTTCCCATACCTCCCACACATTCCCAACCCATCAGGCGTTCTCCTCCACGACACCATAAGCACGCACGCCCGAGTACATGGCGCCAGAGGTGTGGGACGGGTTTCTCTCTTGCCCTCCACAATACACCCAACCATCACCTTTCGTTCCCATATCTCCCACACTCCCCACCCTCCAGGGGTTTTGCTCCACGACACTATCGGTACGCCCGAGTACATGGCTCCAGAGGTGTGGGATGGGAGCTATGGCCCCGCAGTGGACGTGTGGAGCACGGGAGTCGTCATGTACATTGCCATGTCAGGTGTGCCGCCCTTCTGGGCGGCATCCAAGCAGTCCGTGCAGGAGGCAGTCGCCACCCGCGAGGCGAGCTTCCGGTCGGCGAAGTGGGCGCATGTTTCGGATGAGTGCAAGCATCTGATTGGCCGGATGCTCGCGAAGAAGCCTCAGGAGCGAATCACGTGCCTTCAGATTCTTGGTAAGTGCGAATTGCTGGCGGAAAGTGTCAGTTTTTGGTGATTGAGATATGTAAATCGTTTCCTTTAGGGTTTAGTTACGTGCTATCTCTCTTATCTTGACATCCTCTGTTGCTTGTTTGTTTTTCAGGGCATCCATGGATACGCCAGCATTCGTCCCGCTAACTATTAAACAGTTACTAGCTTGCTAACAAAGGTAGTACCCAGCAAGATTGTAGCAGATTCTGTAGCAGTACCCTTGGCTATCCAAAAACCGTAGATTGTTCATTTGTACGATTTTTGTGAAACGTTCAGTTTCCGATATGATCTTTTTTTAATATAATATAAATCATTACAGGAATGCAGTGATTCAAGGTACGGTAGTAACTGCTGGAGTATTTGTCTGCAACACAATGATGTGAAACTGTTACGAGTTTGCAATTGAGTGAACGAACGAGAATTGCACTATCGAAGCAAGAGTACAATGAGCAAAGGCATTGTTAGAATCACTAGCTAGGTGAGGAATGAGTGTCGATTAGGTAAGAGGGAGGGGGTACAAGGATGTCGAGAGAGTTGGGTTGTACCCTCTAAGGTGTGACCCTACACAACCTAGAGTAAGAACATAAAAAAATGTTTTGACACACCCCCATAGGTGAAGTAGGGGATAGCCAAACTTAACAATACTCACAAGACCAGTCAAGCAAGAGAACAAACAAGGCAAAGCCCAGGGTGGATCTCAAGGACACCACACAATCTGAGCACAAGCAGGCGGCCACAAGGCCAGTTCACTTGCAGATTTATAATAGCAAGGCAGTAAACAGATTACAACCTAGCAAAAGTAAACATGCAGGTATAAAGATATATATCGCAGTGTACAACAAGAGCAAGTCAAGCAACCAGCAGGTGAGGCAGAGTGGGCACAAGCCCAAGAGTAGTGCAGAAACGCTGATAATCACCAGCCCCAAGGGCCTTGGTGAAGACATCAGCACTGTTGGCCCGAGAGGCCACGAAAGCAAGGCGCAGCTGACCACGCTGCTGCAGCTCACGCGCAAGGAAGTAGCGCAGAGCAATGTGCTTCATTCTGTGCTCCAGTCTCTGCTCGCGACACAAGGCAAGCATTGCCTTGTTGTCGACGTACAGAACTGGAGGAGAACGAGGCTGCTCCCCCAAGTTGGTCAGCAGGTAGGTGAGCCAGCGGAGCTCCTGTGCAGCCATGGTCCCAGCGTAGATCTCGGCCTCACAACTGGAACCAAGCACAGAAGAAGAACAAGTGGACCTCCACGAGACAGAATCAGCGCCAAGACTGAAAGTGTAGCCCTGTGACGAACGCAGAGTCGCCTGGTCGTCGGCCCAAGAGGCGTCGAGTGTCTTGTGAGAACCACCGAACCCCGTCCTCCAAGCACGAGCCCCATGCTCGATGTGCTGCACAAGTAACGCAGTACCCTCTTCGCAGCATCAAAGTGCACCTTTCGGTGCCTGCCGGGTGCCACGTAGCGAGCCAGAAGGCTGAGAGGGTACGCGAGGTCAGGTCGTGTGCACGTCATCAGGTACAAGAGGCAGCCCACAAGCTCTAGGTACGGACCACTCGGCTCTACGGACTCGTCCGAAGGTGGAGCTGAGAGCGAGTGACATGTAGCCAGAGGAGTGGGCTGTGGCGAGGAGTACGTGAAGCGGAAGCGCTGAAGGACCTGCTGCACCATGTGTGACTGAGTCAGGGTGATGGTGCGCCGTGGTCTGTCCCGGGTGATCTGCAAGCCAAGATAGCTCTGCAGCTCACCCAGGTCAGTGCAGGTGTGTCTCTCCTGCAGCTCTGCCTTCACTAGGGCCAGTGCCTCAGTGTCAGCTGTAGCAAAAACCAAGTCGTCAACGTACACGAGGATGTAGAACGGCGGCAGAGTAGTGTCGGTGCGTAGAAACAGCGACAGGTCAGCAGTCGAAGGAGCAAACCCAAGAGCCGCAAGTGTCGTCCTCAGTGTGTCGTGCCACTCACGGGGTGCCTGACGCAGGCCGTACACTGGTCGTCGTAGGCTCCACTGAGTCCCCGCAGGAAACGACCCAATGAAGCCCTGTGGACGGCTCAACCAGATGGCCTCGTGAAGGCTACCCTGCAAGAAAGCTGTCGAGAAGTCGAGGGAGTGTAGCTCGTAGTCACGCTGAGCTGCAACGTGTAGCAACACCTGAAGAGTGGTCATCTTTTGGGTGGGGGAGAAGGTATGAAAGAAGTCGACCCCCTCACGCTGACTGAAGCCTCGAGCAACGTAACATGCCTTGAAGGCAGGCGGAGAACCCGGCGACCGCTCACCCTGAAAATCCACATGCCAGTGACGATGTTCGCCCTAGGAGGGGGAACCTCGTCGGCGTAGGTGCCTGTGGACTTCCAGGAAGCCATCTCTGCGTCCATGGCTGTCTGCCATTGGGAGGAGTACTCACCCGAAATCGCATCCCTATAGGAGCGCGGGGTGGGGATGTCAAGTGCATGTGGGTCTCCCTCAGGGGCAAGCAGCATGGTCGCGTGATGGGGTGAAGCGGCAGCAAGGCACTCCATCTCCTCCTGTTTTTCCTCAAGAACGTCACAGCCAAGGGCAGTGCAGCCAAGAGGAGTCTCACCCCCGGCGGACGGAGGACAGGCAGGGACAGAGTCAGAGACAAGACTCGCAAGGTAGTCGAGGCGGTACACAGCAGCAAAGTCAACGAGCTCAGCTACTAGGGCAGATGCAGCAGGAGACGAGAACGTAGGGTCCGTCACAACCGTAGCAAGAAGGCGAGTAATAGTCGGACTGGACGCACGAGTAAGGTCAGACGGAGGGTCAACAACGTTAGGCAAAGAGGACGCAGGAGGTAACGGTAGGACAACACGCTGAGGAACAGAGAAAGGTCGGAGAGTCATATCGTGAGTGCTGAGGACAGCCGGAGCACGGTGATGACAAACACAAGGAACACGAGCACGAACAGTAGCTCTAGGCTCAGGCTCAAGGTCAAAGCTAGACTCAGGCTCTCGACGCTCAGGGGTGGAAGCACGAGTCTCAGGCTCTCGACGCTCAGTCAGGGACTCTGACACCGCAGTGTAAGGAGCGGGAGCAGGCAGTGGGGAGTGTGGTAGCATCGGCGGCTGTGACTCGTCCGCCGATGGACACAGCAACGGAGGAGTAGTACCTGCCACATGGAAACCAGTAGCACCTGGCTGAAGACCGAGAAGGTGGCGAAGAGCACCAATAGCTCCACCAGGACCTCCAGCACCTCCAGCACCTCTAGCCCCAGCAGCTCCAGCTCCTCCAGCACCAGCAGCTCCAGCAGCTCCACAACCTCCAGCACCAGCAGTACCTCCAGTACCTCCAGCACCAGCAGCTCCACGACCTCTAGCACCAGCAGCACCTCCCGTACCTCCAGCACCAGCAGCTCCACCAGGACCAGCAGCACCTGCAGCTCCCCGACCTCCAGCACCAGCAGCACCTCCAGTACCTCCAGCACCTCCAGGACCTCCAGCACTAGTAGCACCTCCAGGACCTCCAGCACCAGCAGTACCTCCAGTACCTCCAGCACCAGTAGCTCCAGGTCCTACGGTAGGAGCTCCGACGACACCAACACCAGAAGGACTCGCAGCACCCCCAGAGTCAGCACCCGAACTCGCAGCACCCCCAGAGGCAGGACCCTTGGTCTCAGCACTCGCAGGCTCAGTACCCTCAGTCGCAGCACCCCCGGGCTCAGTACCCTCAGTCTCTGCTCCAGTGTCCACAGCAGAGGCGGCAAAGACGGCAGAGGTAGGAACCCGGGGGGTGTAGCCAGACGAGGAGAGCGGGCACCCCCGGACTCACCACCCCCAGCCCCAGCTCCAGTAGTCTCAGCTCCAGAGTCCACAACAGCAGGCTGTGGAGGCGGCGAAGACGGCAGTGGCGGGAAACCCGGGGGGGTCTCCAAGCGAGGAGTGCGGCGAGTGGTCGCCGTGTCGTCGGCGACGGCGTCACCCCCCTCAGGTGAGTCAGAGGAGTCAGAAGAGATCTCAACTAGCTCATCCAAGGGGGGTGGGTCTACCTGGGACACACCTGAGGGAGCAGGACCCTGTGGGGAAGGGGGTCTACCGGGGGTGGGACTGGTACCAGGAAGAGAGGTACGAGAGGGACCGGGTGGGACGCGTGCGGGTGAAGTCGATAGTAACAGACCGACTCGTCAAAGGTGACATCATGAGAGGACAGAACACGACGCGAGGTAAGGTGGTAGAACTGCCAGGGTGGAGCGTCGGTGGGGAAGCCCAGGAAGACACAGCGAAGAGTGCGAGGGGAGAGCTTGCTCGCTTTGGTATTGCAAACAAGGGAGAGCGCGCCCCAGACCCGAAACGACGACGCATCACCAGGCTGTCCCGTCCAACGGAGTGTGGGCGAGGTCTCTGGAGCAGAGACACGGGGCCAGAGGCTGAGCTGATGCGCGGCTTATTGGACCGCAAACGGCCACAGGAAATGGGGAGTAGCCACATGGATCATGGAGGTACGAGCAACCTCCTTGATCAGGCCAATGCGACGCTCAGCGATCCCATTTTTCTGCGGAGAGGCCGGAAGCGTGAACGACTGGGTGATGCCCTCATCTTCGTAGAACGTCTCAAGGACGCCAAAAGAGAACTCACCACCCCTGCCAGAGTGCAGACGCATGACTGGAAAGTCCCGCCAAAACCGCTCGCACAGCTGGTGACGAGTAGCACAGATCCAGGGGATCAAGACACCATTGACATCCGCCTTGCACCGCAAGGGGAAGACTGTGGTGTAGCATGTGTAGTCGTCAACCACAAGCAGGAAGTAGCGCTCCTGGTCCGTTCCACCGACGGGGGCCGGGCCCCACACGTCCATATGGAGAGTCTGCAGAGGAGCAGTGGTCGGAGGAAACTCGGAGGAGTGAGGAGCGGCGCGCTGCCGCCCCTCAACGCAAGGAAGGCACGGCGGCGCAAGTGAGCGCGGGAGGGGGGGCAGGGTCTCAGGGAGGCCAGTGACGAGGAGCCGGGAGTGCATGCGGCGCAGACGCTGCAAGGAGGGGTGACCAAGACGGTGGTTCCAGCGCTGAGTCTCGTGCGTGAGTACTCGGCACGAGCAAGATGCAGCTAACTGCCCTGATGCAGACGCTCGACTCGACGTAGCTACTTGACCTGACTCAGCCACTTGTGCAGACGTAGTGGTCAGTGTGTACAGATTGGACTCAGGCTG